AAGGTTTGGGTTCGGGGTTTGGGTTTTTTGGGGTTTAGGGCTTTTTTTTAATCGAAGCATAGGGCGGCACACCTTAACCAATTTTCCGATAGAACCCGGCTGTCTCGCGCGTGAGGATGAACAGCAGTGCGTCATCTACGACTACCCCACCCTGACAGACGATCCGCGTCGCGATTTGGAGGCCTGGGCCGGGGCGGCTTCCTGCGTCTCAGTTATCTTCTGACCCAGAGCCACAACCCTAAACGGTTTAGGGTTTAGGTATAGGGTTTAGGGTTTAGGATTTAGGGGTTAGGGCTTAGGGTTGAGGGTTGAGGGTACCCTACTTACATCCCTCAAGGGTCTTTGCCCCGAGTTCTTTCAGAAAAGGGGCCAGGCTTTTGGGACCTATATAAGGCCACAAACCCTATAAGCCATAAATCCCCCAGGACTAGAACCCGTACTTGATCCTTAAATCAGAATGGTACATCATAGTATATCCGTTAGGCTCACCCTTAGGCTCGAAATAGCCGCAAATAGCCTATGTGGGAAGGCCGTTGGGTGGAAACATCCTAAAATAAGAGTTCTTTAGAGCCCTGGGTAAGCCACGCCGACAAGCTCCAAAATCCGAAACGCTGGTTTTAGGGTGTAGGGTTTAGGAACTAGGGTTTAGGGTTTGGCGCTTAGGGTTGTCCTTCGGGTGTCTCGGTATCTCAACCCCCCAACCCTGTGAACGCTAAACACCTCTAAAGATAGCGATGGGGGGATGTTTGGAGACGTCGAGCTCAGTCTAGGGGACAAGAGCCCCTTGTTTAGGGTTTAGGGTTTAAGGTTTCAAACCTTACACAGGGTTCGGGGTTGAGGTTTGTGGGATTAGGGTTTATAGGGTTCAGAACCTTAAACAGGGTTCGGCGGAGTTGAGGGCTTTGGGTTTTGGGGACATACCCAACAGTCAAGGTAGCCGTCCAATATTTACGGGTATAAATGAATCATCTGCTACAAGCACCCGGACTGGGATTGGAGAAGAGAGATTCGCGGACAGGAGCGCGACTCAAAAAGGTGTCCCAGAAGTGGCGAGGGCTGTAGGCCTTCTGCCCTCGAGGTGGTTTGGAGCCATCTACGGCTCACCAATTCCCGTCGAGTGTTCTGGCAGGATACCGACCAGAAGAATCACCACGATCGGCGGCATTCGGAACAGCGTGGACGAGTGTGTCTGGCTGTTCAAGGACAAGGCCGGCAAGGTCATGGGACGCGTCGGAGTGCACGTCGACGACTTTCTGATAGCCGAGGACATGAGTAACCCAGAGTGGCTGGCCATCGGAGAGCAACCCCCAAGGGATCCATGTACCTGCACAAAATGACCTATACAGTAGATACTTGGGCCTTGCGTGTTATTCTGCTAGGGCCCCTTGCTACTGCCAAGTTTGAGAGTTCGACTCCGAACGAAAGGGACAGCCCCACTCGAGGGCAAATAGGTTAGGGGTCTGGGGTTTGGGGGCCATCGGGGGGGTTTAGGGTTCAGGTTTGTAGTGTGACCGAACCCCTAGACCCCTAAACCCCTAAACCCCCAAACCCGTAAACCCTTACCCCCTAAAACCCTAAACCCTAAACCCTAAACCTGGGTTTTGCATGGTTTTGCACCGCCGCGCCAGGATGCTGCTGGGCAGCAGCTGCAGTTCTACTCGATCAGCCCCTCAGCACGAACTCATGGGTTTCCCTACTACTCCCCTCTATACTAAGCAGGGTTTAGGGTTTAGGGTTTAGGGTTTAGGGTTTAGGGTGTAGGGTTTAGGGTTTAGGGTTTAGGGGCACTACCCCCCTCTATGCTACTCCCCCTGAGGTCCCCCCCTAAAAATACCCTTAAGTAGGCTTAAATGTCGCTTCTTTGCCCTAATCATGGGAGGGAACCTAGGGGGGGGTTAGTATAGAGGGTTTAGGGTTTAGGGTTTAGGGTTTAGGGTTTAGGGTTTAGGGGGAACCCCTAAACCCCGGACATGCATGGCACGGCCTGTGCTCCTACAAGGGGGGGGGTTTCCGAAGTTAGGGGGTACCTGAGTACCTGATTGTGGTTCTTTTTTATGAAGGAATCCGCCTATTTTTTGTGGGTCTATATGAAGGGCCCCTTCTTTTCGTAAACCCCCAGATCCTTAGCCCTGAAGCCCTACGGCCTCTGCGCCTAAAGGTGTTTGATGGCTTTTGGGTGCTAAAGGGCTCTTCGGGGTTTAACCCCGAAGCATCTTCAAGATTCGCGACAACAGGCCCGAGGCCTTGAGACCGTCTGCAAAGGCGCATTCTTGCTTAGCGTCTAAGCCTGAGTTCGGGACTTTACATCGAGAAGACGCTCCTCGATCCTCTATTCTCGACTAGTGACTAAAGGGGTTTGTAGCCTACCCTAGGATTTAGGGTTTAGGGATTAGGGTTTAGGGTTTTGCGTTCAGCACTCCGGGTCGAGCAGCTTTATGGTTAAGCTTTATTTTCGGTTTAGGGTTTAGGGTTTAGGGTTTTGCGTTTAGAGTGTCGGGTCTAGGGTTTAGGGTACCTCCGTTGACAGTATCCCAACCTCAGCGGAGGTGGCCCCAAGAAGGGGTTGGGCATAAGTCTCAACGGCTTAGATAGAGGGTTCTAGGTTTTCAGATATGCAGTTTCAAAGTTTCAGGGTTTTTGGGTTTCAAGGGCTTCAAGGGCTTAGTGTGGCTTGCTGTGGCATGGGCTGTGCATGCCACCTTGTCCGCTCAGCTCCATAACAATGCAAACCCCAAATTCCGAAGCCTATCCCTAAACCCTAGACCCTAATCCCCAATCCCTAATCCCTAAACCTTAAACCATACCTCAACAAGCCACCGCCACCGCCCACATGATTGTAGCCCTAGCACCCCAGGCAGCCTCTGACAAATCCTCGTCCTGCCCTTCTGAGGTGAAATCGATGGCGAGGACCTTTCGGTGCCAGAACTTCCTTCACTATTCTAAATGGGGAGCGGTTCGCTATGCCAATCCTTTGTCTACAAGTCCCATAAATGCATATATATATACACATATTCATATTTCTAGCATTCGAAGAGCAATATAAAAAATAAGTTGTTCTTCTTTATTATCAAGATCAACATGTTCGATTACCAATATGAAGTATTACAATCAACTACAGGGATATGTACTATATATATATATGTATACATATATATATATATATACATACATATATATATATATATGTATATGCATACCTTGCAGATGCCGATAGCGGTACCTGCATTCACTCCCCACCTCGCCCTTCGGCGGACTTTGGGGTCCCTAAGCATATGATAGTGAGGTACATGGACCCTTAGGGTAACACCTGAATAGGGTTTAGGGTTTAGGGTTTAGGGTTTAGGGTTTAGGGTTTAGGGTTTAGGGTTTAGGGTTTAGGGTCCCTAAATCCCTAACGCCCTAGCCCCCTAGACCCGAAACCCCTAACACCAAAACCCCTGCCCTAAACCTTTAGGGGAATGAAGTGGCCTCCACCTCCTAGATAGGGACTTCGGGGCGCAAGTGTATGATGATGAGGTACGTGGACCCCCTTAGGGGAGTAGTCCACAGAAAGCCCGAGCATCTCAAGAAGCCCTAAACCCTAAACGAGGTACATGGACCCCTTAAAGGAATGAAGTTGCAAACATTTACTCCTACAATGGTCCTTATATTCCCTAACGGATCCTTAAACAGGGACCCCAAAACCCAAGGGTACAACCTTAAGGGTCCAAGGTAGAACCCCTAGAGTCAGAGGGTCTGTCCTGGGTCGGCAGGACTGCGCCATCTTTGTCGGCCAGCTGCCGCGTGGCCGCTCCATCCACATTTGGGTGGACATGGAGGCTGGGCACTAAACCCTCAACCCCTAACCCTTTGCACCGACCCCCATACAGCATCTGTGGTCATGACAAGCCGTCGTGTAAAATTTATAGTTTTGTCTGCATGCAGTCATTGAGTATGCCGTGTAGCCTTTCAGCCCTACACCGTACCTCCAACCTTCACATGCCGAAGAAATCCAAAGTGGGTTCAGGGCTCGGGGTTTACGGACCTGAAGCTAAACAAACAAACCCAAGCCGACTTGATGGGGCGTATGGCCCGGGCCTCAAGACATGCGCGCCGTACTTACAGGGCGCCGGAGTCTCACAAATCTCCACGTCTCAGAGCTTGAACGGTGCCAAACGCCAAACCCTACACCCTAAACCCCAACCCAGCCCCTGAACCCTAAACCCTAAACCCTAAACCCCAAACCCTAAACCCTAACCCTAAACCCCTAAACCCCTAAACCCCTAAAGCCCTAAAGCCCTAAAGCCCAGGTTTTAGACTGGGTCCTTCAGGGATGGCAGGGGCTCGGCTTAGGGGGGGCATGTATAGGGGGTGATTAAACAGAAATGAAACTAGGTAGAAGTTAGGGATTTGTGGGTTTTGGTTTTTTCTGGAATGGGGACTTCAGGGTTTAGGGTTTTTTTTCGGCTTAGGGTAAGGGTTCGGCTTTTAGGGTTTGGTGATTTTAGGGTCTATGGACATTTGGGTTTGCCCCACCCATGCACGCCCCCCCCCCCCCCCTCTGCCCTTATAAACCGTAAACCCTAAACCCATACCTAGTTTCATAGGCCTCTTGGATGTTGCATTTTTCCTTATTGGGTTTAAGAGGGAATTTGTTTTCAGAGGTTGAAAGGGCCGACCTGGGAAAGGATGGGTGCGTGATGTTGTGTAGCAGGGTGTATGGTCCCCAAACCCTAAACCCTAAACGCTAAGCCCTCAACCCTAAACCCTTAAACCCAAACCCCTAAACGCTAAACCCGAAACCCAAAACCCTAAACCCTAAACCCCAAACCCTAAACCCTAAACCCTAAACCCTAAACCCTAAACCCTAAACCCTGAACCCTGAACCCTGAACCCTGAACCCTAAACCCTAAACCCTAAACCCTAAACCCTAAACCCTAAACCCTAAACCCTAAACCCTAAACCCTAAACCCTAAACCCCAACCCCAAGGGCTCAGGGATTTCCATAGGGTTCCAGAGCCATGGAGACGGATGTCGAGGCGGAGCCCATGCTCCCGCCGTCAGAGCGACTGGAGCTTTACAGGAGCTCCCTACGAGATCGCTGTGCCCAGACAGGGTTTAGGGTTTAGGGTTTAGGGTTTAGGGTTGAGGGCTTAGGGTTTAGGGTTTAGGGTTTAGGGTTTAGGGTTTAGGGTTTAGGGTTTAGGGTTTAGGGCATTGTGCCCAGATCCAGACCCCTAAATCAAGCTGGCATTCTTCAATGCAATTCATGAGGGTGTGCTGTGCTCTCTTGCTGGAGTTGCTCCCCCAAAAAAAGCAGGGAAGCAGGAAGGAGAGTCCCCTGATTGTGGACGAAGCCTTGGCTCATGTGGTTCGGTTTAGGGTTTAGTGTTTAGGGTTTAGGGTTTAGGGTTCAGGGTTTAATGTTTAGGGTTTAGGGTTTAGGGTATTTTGACGCTCAGGCACTGACGTCCTGGAGGACGTGGCTGCTTGGGCTGTTGGCTACAAGGCGTGGGCCCTGTCAAACCCCGTGATTCGGGCGCTCTTGGTTTTTGTGGCACGCGTGAGCTTCGTGGCCGACTTGGCCTTGGATATCAACGTCGGACTTGAGCTGCGAGCTTCAGGGAACTTCTGGTGGAGCGGCATCTGCTTCAGCATCATCCTTTTCACCTATCTGGTTCTGGCCTGTGCCTTGCGCCTTGGGGACCAAAGGAACCCTAAAACTGGGGTCAGATACACTATACTACTATAATTACTATGAGGGTATATGAACCATCAACCCTTTTAGGGTTCACTTCGTCCCCAAGGCGCGAGAAAGCCGTGCAAAGGTTGCAATCTGGCTGCCTGCCCGAGCGCCCGAGGGCGGCGAAGGCATTGTGGATCCTACTCAGCGTGCCGCTGCTGGTGGCCACGGACATCCTCGTGACGCTGAGGTACTTGTGGCAGGATCCGCTGGAGGTCGAAGTCTTCCATTTCTTGAAGCTCCGGGGCCTGCTTGAGGCTGTTGAGGCCATGTTGCAGACGCTCCTGCAGAGCTACGTTGCATTCCGTCTCTTGAACCCCGGCGGCTTCTTTGCAGAGGTAGAGGCGAAGCAAGTGAAGCCAACGGCGCTGTGCCTCTCCATCGTGTTCTCCATCAAGAACTTGGGCGAGCAGTTTCTTGGTAGCCTTTACCCTCTCATTTGTGTTCTTTGTTTTTTTGGTTCTGGGTTCCCTTGTTAAAGTAACCAACCAAAAACAGGGTACCCTTATGATGAGATGCATAGCGGGCTGCCAAGGTTTCTGTTTCTGGAGAAGTTCTCGAAGCTGCAGACACATGGGGACAAGAAGCTCCTCGAACACACCAAAGACCTAGGTGTTTTGCTTTCTCGTTCTTGCTGGTTGCGGATGGACCTCTGAACCCCTAAACCCCTAAACCCTAGGCCCTAAACCCTAAACCCTAAACCCTAAAGCGCAGCTTGCCTAAGCCCTGAACCCTTAACCCCAGCCACCTTCAGCTTGCGGGTGTCCTAAGTTCCCCTGTAAAGTAATCAACTCCAGGAACGGTTTTCTTGTGGTTTAGGGTTTAGGGTTTAGGGTTTAGGGTTTCGGGGACAAGGTCCCTGAGGCCCTTATTGGGGAACCCCTATATCACCCTTTTTCTCCCCTATATTCAGCCAGGCTCTTCTTGAAGACGATGTGTGCTTTGGGCGATGGCCTGGCACCCTCCAGTCTTTTCGACCAGGTGGCTCGGAGCCGCTATGTCAACTGCGAGTTCGAGCCACGGTTGATTTGGAAGTCCATTGTTGCTAGGGTTTAGGGTTTAGGGTTTCGGGTTTAGGGTTTAGGGTTCAGGGTTCAGGGCTTGGGGTTTAGGGTTTAGGGTTTAGGGTGTCGGGCTCAAACCCCCAAAGTCCTGCTTTAAAAACCTCGTCAAAAACACATGAAAAAGAGCACCCCAAAGCCCCAAAGCTCTCCAACGAGCGTTTTCAAGTCTCTCGGGGAGAGGATTAGGGGGACCCTTGGGGACATAGACCCTCTGAATAAGGCCCCTCTTTAAGAGGGCCAGAAGAAGGTTCAGAAAGGGTCCCCTTTAAGGGTCCCCCTTATCCTACCTAGGAGTCTCTACGTCCCTCAGCCCTTTCAAAGCCCAGAGGGTCCATTTGTAGTACTATTATGGAATTAGGCACTCCAAAACCCTATTCAGTATGGTTTTTGGACTGTTTTTGGGTACCAAATTCCATAATAGTCATACAAATGGACCCTCTGGGAAGCATCCAATATCCTTGCACCCGTTGGCTTTGCCCGCTACCCTGGCCGAATCATCACCTTTGACAGGTTTCTCCAACCGCAAACTCTGGGTTTAGGGTTTAGGGTTTAGGGTTTAGGGTGTAGGGTGTAGGGTTTAGGGTTTAGGGTTACCTTATCGGGCGGGCAGAAGGAGAGCCAAGTGGAACGAGCAACTACTCAGGTTCGCAACGACCATTTTTAACGACCATGTCTGTGAAGGGGCAGGGACTCGAAGGGTGTAGGGTTTAGGGGGGTTTAGGGTTTAGGGTTTAGGGGAACAAGAGTCTTGAAGTTCGTAGTGATCGTTTCCAGGATGGGCTATTAGGCCTTATAGTCCCCATAATCAACCCTACAAAGGGCCTTTTGAAGGGCTTATAGGGTATAATGGCCCATCCTGGTTTAGTGATAGAGAAGACTAGACAGATCTCGCCGACTGGCGGGACATCACACACGGTCCGCACCCATGGCAGCTGAACACGGACCAACCCTTGTATTCCCCTCATAGATATGCTGCTCTGCTGAACACAGACCTACCCTTGTATTCCTTCATAGATATGCTTGTGATACATCCCTGACAACCCCTCATGTACTGGGTGGTCGGGCTTAAGCGCGGATACCACAGGGGGGAGAGGGGGGGGGGATTGACAGGGGAGACAGAATGCTCCTAAACCCAAACCCCAAACCCCAAACCCTAAACCCTAAACCCACACATTCATTGCAAGACAAGGACCTCGGTGAGGTCGACCGCTCCGAACTCTGGGTTCTCGCTCGGGCGGCCAGGGACAGCCCGGTCTTGGAAGAGCTCAGATTTGCAAAGGCGCCATTCGGGTTTAGGGTTTAGGGTTTCGGGTTGGTGTTTAGGGTTCAGGGTTTAGGGTTTAGGGTTTAGGGCTTAGGGCTTAGGGCTTAGGGTTTGGGGTTTGGGGTTTAGGGTTAGGGTTTAGTGGGGGTGGGGTATCTGCTTGTATGGGTAGTTCGCCTTTTTTGCTTAGGATTTTGGGTCCCCTTGTGAAATGGCACCCTTCTACTCGGACCCCTAACCGGGACCCTAATTTAGAGAACCGCCCTTTCAATAGTTGATGTCTGGTCTTTTAGCGTGGTGTTCTTTGTTCCTGCCTGTGAAAAGAGTTTCAGTGTGTGGGTGTTTAGGGTGTAAACCCTAAGCCCTAAAGCCTTTTGAGGTCTACGACGGCATAAAGGTTCAGGACTTTAGGGCTTGACGGTGTTTATAGGGTTTAGCCCTAGACCCTAAACCCTAAACCCTAAACCCTAATTTAGGTTTTCATGCTTCTGGTGCGGCCGACCCGAAGCACACTCTCTAGGAGACCCTGCCTTGGCTTTCAAGAGTTCGCGTGAAAGGGTTTAGGGTTTAGGGTTTAGGGTTTAGGGTTTAGGGTTTAGGGTTTAGGGTTTAGGGTTAGGGTTTAGGGTTGGGATGTTCCCCCATATACGAACAGCCCTTAGTAGGATTATAGTCAGGGGTTCTATAATCCCCCAACTCAGGCCTGCTAGCATACGGGGGAACATCCCAAGGTAAGGGGTTTCAAGGGTTTGGGGCTTTGGGTCGGAGTCTTCGGGTCTAAGGCCTAACAGAGGCCCTAAACCCCTCAACCCTGAACCCTAAACCATAAACCCCCCAAACCCTGAACCCTAAACCCTAAACCCTTAAACCCTTAACCCTTAACCCTTCTTAACCCTTAACCCCTAACCCTTGACCCTTAAAGCCTTAACCCTTAAACCCTGAACCCTAAACCCTAAATCCTAAACCCTAAACCCTAAACCCTAAACCCTACCCTGAACCCTAAACCCTCAAGCCCTAAGCCCTAAACCCGAAACCCTAAACCCTCAACCCTAAACCCTCGACCCTAAACCCTCAAGGCCAGCTTCTTGCGCACCCTGGTGCGCACCCCGACGCAGACCAACCTCCTCAAGAGCTGGGTGAACGAGCTCTTGCACAGCCGTCACCTTCAGAGGCTCCGGGGGGACTTTAGGGTTTAGGGTTTAGGGCTTAGGGTTTAGGGTTTAGGGGTGGTAGCTTTACGCTTCAGAATCTTGGGGGCTGCAAGCACTGGGTGGCCCAGTGGTGTGTTTGGGTTCTGGGTTCCCGTACCCAAAGGGTCCCAAGTACCTATATGGGGGGACACTTACCCAAACCATAAAAGTGATTCCTATTACAGCAACCCTACATTCTGCTAGCAGAATGTAGGTACTTAGGGCCCTTTGGGTTATACGGTGAGCAAGCCATATTATTCAGATGGTTACTGGGCTAGCAAGAGCAAGTTGCTGGGTGGTAGCCTTATCTCGCATCGCCTGGCATAAATACGCATCGGGGACCGTCCAAACGGCGACCGGGCGCTCGAGCAAAGTCTACGAGCAACAACAACAATCCATCGTCTTCTTAGGGATTTGCTGCCAAGAGGCACTCCAACTTGTTGTTACTAACTGACGAACCTAAACCCTAATCCCTAAAGTGTTGTGAGTGTTGTGAGTTTTGGGCGCGCGCTGACACCGACGGGCAGCGTCCACGTTGGGTTTTCGCCTTCACCGGTGCGCATACCTGGCACTGATGTGTCATTCGCTCCAGGAGTGTCCACGCTGGGGGTGATATGTGTGTTTTAGCCAACTCATGTGAGTTAAATCCAATCTTCGCAGGTGATACGTAGGATTTTTCAGGGGGACATCCCCAAGTATCCCTAAACCCTAAACCCTAAACCGCTAAAACCAGGCATGTTCTAGGGTCCTGAAGGGAGAAGGGTTCATTTGGGGCATCGGTACCGCGTGATCCTTAGGGAAGCTTAGGGAGTCCTAGGGAGTAGTGGGGAGTATTAAGGAACCTCGGGTTACGTACCGCCCTTGAACCCCCCTCTTTCAAGAACCCTATAAACAATACCCACAAAGGTCCGTGATCTTTAGGGTTTAGGGTTTAGGGTTTTCAGCACCTTCCGCAGGCTCTACATCGATGGGACGTCTATCGGCATGGGCCTGGTTGAGGAGGAAATCTGGGAGGCGGTTCTCAAGGCTTGCTGGCCCAGTGGTCGCCCTTTTGCCCCCCATGCTTCTGTGGGTCCTAGGTTCCCTTATAAGTTTAGGGTTTAGGGTTTAGGGTTTGGGGTTTAGGGTTTAGGGTTTAGGAGGATCCTAAGTGTCTGCCTACATAGCAGAATGTAGGGTTGCTGTAGTAGGAATTACTATTCTGGTTTGGGTAATTGCTTTCCATATAGGTACTTTGGGTTCTCAAGGCTTGCTGGCCCAGTGGCGCCCTTTTGCACCCCCCCTTTTTTCTTCGTGGGTGCCAGGTCCGTCCCCCCTTGTAAAGCAACCAACTTTTCGAAACAACCCCCCCCCCCCACCCCCCAAAAAAGGGTGCCCTTACTATGATGTGGTTACCTAGGATGCCCAGTAGGACCCTTATTCCCTTTTTGGGGGGTTTAGGTTCCCTTCTAAACCCCTTAACCAAAGAAGGGCACCCTTTTTAAGCCTTGGTTACTGGGCAGCCTGGTTACTGGGGCTACTTGTACCAAGAAGGTCTTTGCAGAGTCTGCAGAGTCGATGCCGCGGCACTCCCTGGAGAGAATTGAGGTGGCGGGTCGAGAGCTTTAGCTGAATGGGTGCACTTTAGGGTTTATAGGGTTTAGAGTTTAGGGTTTAGGGTTTAGGGTTTACACTGTTTGGGATACTTCTCTTCCCCCTATAGAACTGACAGTGTACGCTTTTTTTGGGGGGGCTTATGAACCCAGCAGCTAAACCCTAAACCCTAAACCCTAAACCCTAAACCAAGGAGCCGGTGTTGCTGAAGCCCTGCGCTGAGCCCTGGCGCAGGGCCTTGTTTCAAGCCACGTGGCCGGAGTTGCGCCTGGCGCTTCAAAGGGAGAAGCTTCTCCCTGCGGAGGTTGGAGAGAGTCGGTTTAGGGTTTAGGGTTTAGGGTTTAGGGTTTAGGGTTGTATAGGGTTTAGGGTTTTGGGATTTTTGTCCCTGCGGAGGTTGGAGAGAGTCTCTTTGTTGCGGCAGGCCTCCAGCGGCTGACGAAGCACCTGGGCCTGTTAATCAGCCTGGGCGCCTCACCGAATGGAAACGGGAAGAAGTTGCCCTTGATCAGTGCTGCGCTTCAAAACGCATCGGGCAACGCAAAGCTGCTTCTGGAACACCGAGCTCACGTTGATGCAACTTCCGGTTCGGGGCTCACCGCTCTCTATGGGGCCGCACAGGCGAATGCCGCTCAAACGTTGCAGGTTCTTCTGCAGCACAAGGCGGAGGTAAATCTTGCAATCGGGCCAAAGAAGCTGACAGCCCTGCATATTGCTGCGAGGGGCACCTGCAACGATGCCTTGCGGATGCTCCTGGAGCATGAAGCGGATCCCAACAAGGCCAACACAGACGGGGTCACCGCTGTTCATGTCGCTTGCGAGGCGTCCCACTTGAATGCTGTCAGCTGCGTGGAGTTCCTTCTAGCCCACAAGGCCCCCCTGGTGCTTAGTAGGGAATTGGGGAATGAGGTACCCTACATAATCCCTTAAAGGGTATAGAAGGGGGGATATAGGGTACCTGATGCCTCATTCCCTATTAAGAACCAGCAAGAGGCTGATGCCAACAAGTTGACAGCCAGCCGGAGGACGCCCTTGCACTATGCCCTGAGATCCCCTTCCATTGCTTTGGGAACCGCGTTGCTGCAGCCACTGCTGGAGAATGGAGCTGATGCTGGGACCCAGAGTTGGCTATTATTCCTTTTTTGGGAGGTGTTTCGGTTCCCGTATAAACCCCTTCAACTCCAAAAGGGCACCCTTTTGATTCCTAGCTTGCTCCTGGACTTGGGCTTAGGATGCGAACCACGCAGACGACGGCGGAGATGTTCCCCTCTGCCTTGCGGTCGAGAAGAATGCCGCGACGGCTGTGCAGTTCCTTGGGGACCAAATGAACCCTAAAATTTTCGGTCATATACCCTATACTACTATAATGACTATAATATACCCTGTACTACTATAATTACTATTAAGGTATATGAACCATATTTGTTTAAGGTTTCATTTCGTCCCCAAGGTTGCTTTTGGAGCGAAGAGCGGAGCTGCACAGCGCAACAGTTCCTGGCCAGACGCCCCTCCATCTGGCTGCAGAATGTAAGTCCTTGGAGAGCATGAAGCTGCGTTCGAAGTTAAGTCCAGTTGCAAGAAGCGCTTATAGGGTTTGGGGTTTAGGGTTTTAGTTTTAGGGTTTAGGGTTTAGGGTTTAGGGTTTAGGGTTTAGGGTTTAGGGTTTAGGGTTTAGGGTTTAGGGTTTAGGGTTTAGGGTTTAGGGTTTAATTAGGGTTAAATCCAGTTACAAGAAGGGCTCTAGCTTCCTTAGGAGAAAGCCTTTTGCTGTTATGGAAAGTTAACGTAATGTTAGGCGCTTGACGAAGAACTTAGGAAAGTCTTGCTCATGTGGCGGGCAGATGTAAGCCGGGTGAACGAGCATGGCCGCACTCCACTTCTGGACGCAGCTGCAGAAAACTCCGTGCCGTGTGCGCGGATGCTTCTGGAATCTGGGTCTTGGAGTACTATACTTTAATACTTTTTTTGGTTCTGGGTTCCTATTATAGCTACTTATACCTAAAAAGTGTATACTTTTTTTCAGGTCTACTCCAAAGCTAAGGAATACCGGTCCGATGTGAACCATTGCGAGAGCGGCCGCGGTGAGACCGCCTTGATGATGTTTGGCATGCGCCACTCTGCTGAAGGGCTCCGGCTCTTGCTGGAAGCGGGGGCAGATCCCACTTTGAAGACGACCGACGGCTACAGGGTAGATGACCTGGCAGTTTCTGAGTCCAAGGAGATTCAGGAGCTTCTCAAGGGTGTCTTGGAGTAGTTCGCCCCGCTCTTGCAAAGTCTCGTGCGTGTGGCAAAAGCAATGCAGGAGATAAACCCTATAGCCCCTAAACCCTAAACCCTAAACCCTAAACCCTAAACCCTAAACCCTAACCCCTAAACCCTAAACCCTAAACCCTAAACCCTAAACCCTAAACCCTAAACCCTAAACCCTAAACCCTAAACCCTAAACCCTAAACCCTAAACCCTGTTCTTTTTCAACGGCTGCCGGATGGTTCGAAGTTCGGCTCTGGCGGCTCTGCCGGGTTGAAGAGTTTAGGGCCTTAGGGGCATTCTGGGTTTTAGGGTTTAGGGTTCAGGGTTCAGGGTTTCGGGTTTAGGATTTAGGGCTGTGGCCGGGATCATCTGAAGGGAGCACTGGGTTCAGGGCTTAGGGCTGAAAGAGGCTTGGTGAGGGCCTAGGGTTTAGGTTTAGGGTTCAGGGCTTAGGGTTTAAAGAGTCTAGGGTTCAGGGTTTAGGGTCATAGAGTATCCTCTGTATAGACAAACTTGTGCCCTTGAAGACGGCAGATACATGCACATCTCCCACCGGGTTAAGGATTTACCCTGAGTACATCGTATATAGGAAAGGAGCCTCCCCAAGGGCATAACATGTCACCTTGAAAACCCTACATGGTTTGGAGTTTAGGGTTCGAGGGTTTAGGGTTTAGGGTCTAGGGTTTAGGGTTTAGGTAACCTGAACCCCTAAAGCCCCATAAGCCCTAAAGTCCTAAACAGCCGAAACACGCGTTCAGTCAGAGAACCCCGACGCCTTCCTGCGGTCAGAGATCCACAAGGTCGACAAGGCTGCACCTGGGTTGTGGGGCTTGAGGGTTTTTTGGGTTTAGGGTTTAGGGCTTAGGGTTTAGGGTTTAGGGTTCAGGGTTTTATTCTCGGATCCTTAAGGGAGGTGGGTTTCACGACAAGGCTGTACCTGGGCGTTGGGGCTCTAGGGGTTTTGTTGGGGGGTTGAGGGTTGTTTTTGGGGGGTTTAGGGGTTTAGGGGTTTAGGGCTGTTTAGGGCTTTTTAGGGCTATTAAGGTTTTAGGGGTTTGGGGGTTCAGGATGCTGCTGTTTTAGGGTTTTAGGGGTGTAGGGGTTTAGGGTTTGCAGGGCTTTAGGGTTTAGGGGTTAGGGTTTGAGGGTTTAGGGCCCTAAACCCTAAACCCTAAACCCTAAACCCTAAACCCTAAACCCTAAACCCCAAACCCGGGGGGGGGGGGGGGGGTTCGGGTTTCCGGCTTCCGGGTCGAAAGGAACCTTTGAAGACTCGCGAGCAGCCTACGTAGTGGGGCCTTGGGTCCGATCTCAAAAGATGTCTACCCTAAGGGTGCATGTGTAGGCCTAAACCCTAAACCCTAAACCCTAAACCCTAAACCCTAAACCCTAAACCCTGGCGGGTCCACAACAGACCCGCGCAAAACTGTGGACCAGCAAACCTGAGATGCAGGACTTAGGTCACAGCCTTAGTGTTGAGAAATGACGCCTTTCTGCTCCCCAGTGCGCCTAAAAGCAAGAACTTCCAGCCATTTCGGCCCAGAAGGTTTAACCTTCTCGGAACGGATTAGACGATGTAGACCATGGACGTCATCATGCTTGGGCCATGGATGCTCTCTTCTCATCAGAGCAGAATAGACCATGAACGTCATCATGCTTGGGCCCTGGATGCTCTCTTCCCAGAACGGAGTGGACCATGGACGTCATCATGGTTGGGCCATGGCAGTGCAGAAAACATGTAGACCATGGACGTCATCATGCTTGGGCCATGCTCTCATCTCATCAGAACAGAGTAGACCATGGACATCATCATGTTTGGGCCATGGATGCTCTCTTCCCAGAACGGATTAGACTATGGACGTCATCGTGGTTGGGCCATGGATGCTCTCTTCTAACTATGGTGAAGCAAACGTGTTGTTTAGACCCAGGGCTGGGCAGAAGCGGATGCAAGCAAGACAGGGCTTAGTTTAGGACACGTCGAAAGTGCGAAGTAGCGCAAAAAACTCCACAAATACCAGTGTATACGGATGCCAAAAAAATTGCGGGGATGAGGTGATGGGCGAAACCCAGGAAGCATCGGTATTTACAAGGGATTCAGAGGGCAACAGAGCTAAACTGCCGAAAAAACGTGGGTCTGCTATGGCCCCGCCTAGCCCTAAACCCTAATTAAACCCTAAACCCTAAACCCTAAACCCTAAATCCTGTACCCTAAACCTGTACCCTAAACCCTAAACCCTAAACCCTAAACCCTAAACCCTAAACCCTAAACCCTAAACCCTAAACCCTAAACCCTAAACCCTGAACCCTGAACCCTGAACCCTGAACCCTGAACCCTGAACCCTGAAAACCCTAAACCCTAAACCCTAAACCCTAAACCCTAAACCCTAAACCCTAAACCCTAAACCCTAACCCTAAACCCTAAACCCTAAACCCTAAACCCTACACGGCCTAGGGGGGAGTATTAAAGTCAAGGGATTCAAGGAGGGACCCTTCTAAGGTGTAAAAGGATTAACCCTAAACCGTATACCGTATGGTGTAAAGGTTGCGCCCCGGCGTGCCGTGGGCCCCCTTATCCCCCCCCCCCCCCCTTCTCACGTTGTGGTGGGGGCCGTGGGTTGGTTTTGCGCATGTAGTGTTAGGGCTTTAGGAATGCTTTAGGGTTTCTAGGGTTTGGGGTTTTTGGGTTTGGGTTTTTGAGGTTCAAGGTTTGGTTTTAGGCTTTTGCGCTTAGGGTTTAGGGGTTTAGGGTTTTACGGTTTAGGGTTCAGGTTTAGGGTTCAGGGTGAGGGGGGGGCGAGAACACACAGCACACAACCACCAGGTCGTTGGTCCTTTCAGGGCATCCCTCCTTATATCCCTTAATAAAGGGTTCCTATAGGTAGTACAAGCAGCTTTAGGGCCCAAGTATATACAATATGGGTACATGGACCCTTGGGGTCTACTGTTGAGATTTGGCTGCAATTTCGTATGGGGGTTAGGGGTTTCAAGTTTAAAAGTTTCGGGTTTCGGGTTTTGGGGACCGACCCACATCAACCGGCCTGCGTTGCGAAGGTCCTGCGCTCCACTAACGTGGAACGCTGGCGCACAGGGGAGGAGGTGCCCATAGAGGTGGAGCAGCGGGCTCAGATCAGGGCTGAATCCCTTAAGCCCTTCAATCCTCACACCCGAATTCCTTAAGCCCTTCTTCCTCGCAATTGAACCCTTCTTGTAAGCCTCAGAAACCCTTCAACCCTCAAACCCCATATTTGCTGGACTGCAGGGTTCTTAGCGGTCGATAGCAGCCTCCTGCTGCCGTTCAGGGTTCAGTGTTGGCGTTCTGCCAAAGGAAGGCGGGCTTTGGGTTTAGGGTCTGTAGCCCTCTTCCTGATACTCCTACCCCTTTAAACCCCAAAACCCACAAGTTTGCGCAGGGTTTCAGGCTCAGAAGGGCTTTAAGAGTGTAAGCTAAACAGTGCATCCCAAGCCCGATACACCTTTCACAGCCGAAGAGGCCAGCCCTCAACAATACACCCTAAACCCCAAACCCTAAACCCTGGACCCCAGATCCTTCAGAGTTAGGGTTTAGGGTCCATTTAGGATCCAGGGTTTGGGGTGTATTTAGGGTTTAAGGTTTAGGGGTTGGCTCAGCCCTAAACCCTAAAGCTTTAAGCCCCTGCTGGGGGCAGCATGATTGCAGGCTAGGGTTTGGGGTTAAGGGTGTAGGGCTTTAGGGCTTAGAAGGGTGGAGGGTATTCGGGCAACCCTAAGCCCCGAACCCTACTCGTACCAAGCCAGAGGCCTAAACCCTAAACCCTAAACCCTAAACCCTAAACCCTAAACCCCGAACCCTCAACCCCAAACCCGAAACCCTAAACCCCAAACCCCAAAACCCCAAACCCCAAACCCTAAACCCCGAACCCCGCACCCCAAACCCCAAACCCCAAACCCTAAACCCTAAACCCTAAACCCCTAAACCCCAAACCCTAAACCCTAAACCCCAAACCCTAAACCCCAAACCCTAAACCCCAAACCCTAAACCCCAAACCCCGAACCCCAAACCCCGAACCCCAAACCCTAAACCCTAAACCCTAAACCCCAAACCCTAAACCCTAAACCCTAAACCCCAAACCCTATACCCCGAACCCCGAACCCCGAACCCCAAACCCCGAACCCTACCGTTAGAGGCCCAAGCCCGAGTGGAACTGCCAAGAGCGGGAACTCAGCGGTCGGCTGGCGAGCCTGGACCGGTTTTGGGTTTTTACTTTCTCTTTTATTATTATTATATTATTATATTATTATTATTTATTTATTTATTTTTTTTTTTTTTGGGGGGGGGGTTGGGGGTTTTGGGGTTTGGGGGCTTTTGGGGGTGTTTGGGTCTTTTTTTTTTGGGGGGGGGGGGGGGGGATTTCAAGGGTTTCGGGCTAGGGTTTAGGTTCTGGGGTTTAGGGTTTGGGGGTTTGGGGTTTTAGGGCGTTCCGAAGTATGGGCCCTGAATTTGGGTCCCCTGCTATAAACCCTTACAAACACTACTTGAAATCCCTTTAAACTTGGGTAAGGGACCATACTGAGGGCCCATGGTTACATCCTTAACGGGTTGGGGGGTTTTGGGGTTCGGGGATTGGGGTTGAAGGTTTGTGGTTTAGGTTTTAGGGTTTTGGGGGGTTTCGGGTTTAGGGGTTTAAAGTTTAGGGTCTAGGGTGTTCTGGGGTTTGGAGGTTTTGGGGGTTTTGGGGTTTAGGGGGTTTTGGGGTGTCGGGGTTGAGGGTTTGGGGTTACCGTTTTTCAGTTTAGGGTCTAAGGGGTTCTGAGGTTTGGGCTTAGGGTTTGGGATTTGGGTTAGGGGGTTTAAGTTTTGGGGTTTTTGGGGGGGGTTTTGGGGGTTTGCTGGTGCCCTGATCGTGATCTCCTGCGGTATAGAGTCCAGAGTTTAGGGGGAGCTTCGTGGAGTTTTGGGGGGGGCTTATGGACTTGCATGTTGCCGCAGTCCTTCATAGGGATTATAATCGTGAGTACTATAATCCC